GAATTCTAAAGGTTGCAAGTGCGGACAGTATCTTCCCGGATTCAAGTGGGATCCCCATTACCATACAAGCACCAAAAGTTACCGCAGACACTAATGTAGGGGCAACCCAAAAGAGAAATGAGGTAAGGGCTGAAGTATACACATATTTTTTCAGCCATCCTGCCTCACAATTCCTAAGCTCGAGAATTTTAGACAGAAACTTCATCTCCCAAGCTTGAAGCTTGAGAATCCTCATGCTCCTCAAGACTTCAGAAGTTGCCTTCATTCTTTTATCTTTTGATTTCATGAGTTTGTCCTGAAATTTTTTTTGTAAATTTCCCAGGGGAACATTTGCTAGCATCACCAGAATAGTAGCAACAAGTGTAGCGAGAGAAGCTAGCCCAAGATTTCTATATAAAATTGCCAATGCCAAGCCGACTTGTAAAATCACCGTCCATGGTTCATGCATATACCAACCAAATTCTCCAATTCTTTCTGCATCGACTGACATGAAATTAATAATCTCCCCAGAGGTATGCCCTTGCTTTGATTGGCACGAAAGGGTCAGTCCCTTGTTGTAGATTTTGGCAACTAATGCCGCCCTGGCCCTAAATCCAGCCTGCTGCACCTTGAAGAACCAGTGTCTCATTGACAAGCACTCAAACATCTTTGCAATGATGAAAATAAAAACCAAGACATAGCCCTCATTTTCAAATTCTTGTTGTCCATTTAAGTATTGAACAAAGTCTTCAATTAGGTATGGACCTACATAAGACGCCAAATTATACACAAGCGCATAGACAGCAGATAGAGAAATTTCCCTCCAGGTTGTGAAAATTAATCCTTTTGCAAGCATAAGTGTGGTCACCCTATTACTTCCTTCAATATCAGACTCCAAATTATTATTTAGAATTGGAAATGCCCCTCTTACACTATCGAAAATGGCCAACTGAGGGACATCCTCGAGGTCTAATGTTTTCTTGAATCCGAGAGAAACCAAAGGACCTACCCAGGAGAAAGTGATGATACTAAAAATACTAGCATTCGCATAAGGAGTTACAGTTTCATCCCCCCTGATTGCTTTACTCGACTCTCTACCATTGGTAGCACTGCCATTCAAAAGGGGTTCTTGAAGAAGGCTATCTCTGTCCTCTTTCTTGCCCCAAAACCCCACATAACAGAAGAATAAACCCATGAAAAGAGAAGTTATATCAGATACCCAAAACAAAGTAGATAAAGTTTGGTGCTTTTTGTAATAAATAAGATCTATCACTAGGCAATAACAAGAAACAGAGAAGAAAAGCACCCACCAGAGTCTTAAACTCAGTGGGTACTTAGGTTCACCTGATTTCTTGAACTGGCTTTGCAAGTAAGCATAGAGGGCTAACCAGGCTAATGTTTTTATTCCCAAATCCAGTGAAGTGAGAATCTTTTCATCAGATGAGCCGCTTCTATACCAATAAAAATTGTTCAATATGCATAAAACAAGATTAAACAATGAAAAAACCAAGCATGAAATCAGTGTTGGTTTATAATGTAAGAGCCTATTGTGCCTAACACTCTGCTTCTGGCTTTCATCATCATTACTACTGATTTTCTTGCATACCCATGATATAAATACGATCAGTAACAAAACCAGGTGCAGAAAGCCAGTGAAGATACGCGACAAAATTGGGTTGAGGAGAAAATCACGTTCCAAAGTTTGTAACAAAAGGGTGGGAAATTGAAACACAGACATTTTCTTAAAACAATTCTTTTCGGCTAGCTTTTGGGTATGTCAGGTTTCGTGGAGTGATAGTGTCGAAGTTCTGAAGAAAACCATTCGGCAGATGGATTTATATAGCAAGGGAGCCAAATTCAAGAATTGGTTAAAAAAGAAAAGAAACTGTTTGTTTTGAGGATGTGGAGCCCAATAATATTTTTCCTTGGGATAATGAGGTGAGCAAGACTCAGTTTAACGAACAGAAGTCACCGAAGTCTTGAGTGGAGTAGAGAAAGCATGGAGTTTGTGGGAAGACTCAAAAATTAGATTAGGATGGATAGAGGAAGCTGCATAAAATTTTATCGGTTTTTCAACTGATCATATTTCAATTTATTCACATATTTCATTCGAGTTACATCAAATTTATCAGAATTTGTTAAACCTTTTACCAAACAAATTCTAAATCG